AAATAAGAAAATATTGATGCGGGCAGCTCTCAGAAGCAGATCACCAATATTGGGGGCCGGGTGTGTCATGAATACCTGGGTGTACAAAGCATTTAGCAAAGATTTATCTGGCCCCTATTTTGTACCAGGCCCTCTGCCAAGCACTGCAGATACAACAGTGAGTGAGGCGCTTTTGAGTCCTAAAGATCAAAACCTGTTCTCTTCACTATTTATCGAAGAAGCTGGTGTTCCTTTCCTTTATTCTTCCCCAAAGGCCAATATGTGTTGTAGATAAAAAAAATCAACCTGCTAACTTGTAAGGAGTTAGTTAACTTCTTCACGCTAAGGAGGTGCAGGTTACACTATGTGGGAACAGAATCTGCAAGGAGGGTCTCCCCTATTCAATGGAATTTTGTCACCAGAGAGTCTGTTTCAGGAGCCCAAATCAACAGAACTGCGAGGTAAACATCACCCACCTAATTTGTAAGTACAAGTGGGGCAGCTGGACTTTCTATACTTGCTTTTAGCCAAAAGACTGAGCAGCGATAGAAGGACTTTCTGAAAGTCCAGCTTTGGTGGGCAGGCGAGGCGCAGCCCGAAGATTGCTGTTATTTTGGCCCCCCCGGGGCCCTAGCGGGTTGGCAGCCTGCCGGTTTGCCACGCCTTTGGCGCACGCCTCTGGCAGGACTAACTGGCCTTCCAGCCGGGTCGCTTCGCCCTTGGCGTGTCTACTCAAAACAAAAGCTGACTTAGTTCTATTTCTTCCTCGAGCTCATGTATAAATGAAAAGTGTCGGTGTTCAGCAGTTGTAGGTACCTCAGCTGATGGCTTCTTTTAGTTAGAGGAAGCAAATTCTTGGAACCTGCTTGAAGAATAAAGTGGACACCTACCGTGTTTGGATACGCTTCAGGGCTCTGATCAGGTTGCTAAACTGGTATCAAAACATGTCCCTCCCTGCACCGAGCGCCTGTTTCCTGGGGTGGCGCCTGGAGTTCGTTCTACATGTGTACACATTCCAGAGAGTGCAGATCTATTGTCAGCCGTGATAGTCATTTTGGCTTAACTAATAAACAGGCGCCAGAAGTCAGGGTGGAACTCCCACACCTCCTGTGACTCTGACCCAGGATTTTTAGTTTTTTGGGTTTTTTTCCGGTACTGGGAATTGAACTCACAATCTTGCGCTTGCCAGGCAGGCGCTGTGCCACTGAGCTAAATCCCTAGCCCCTGACCCAGGAGTTCAACCTGAAGAACTTCAGAGGATTCTGATGCCCTCACATCCTCCCAGGATCAGAGTCTTGGGGATCCCAAGCCAGTTGATTCCAGTGTCCAGCTCTAGTTGCCGGCTGGTGCTCTGGACTTTTCCAAGGGACAGTCCCCTGGTATGGAGCTGTGTGAGGAGCCCTCCTTTTTCCTAGGTACAGTAATTCTCAAATTACTCAAACCTACTGTACTGTACTCTCCCTCCGCACCCCAGGAGACACTAGCTCCTGAATACCCAGCAAAGTGTCTGTGGCTCAGGTGGACTCCCCGGCTCACCTTTAGTCTCCTTGCTAATCTGTTAGTTGCAGTGGTTCATTTCCTGACCCACTCTTGTGTTGGAAGATCAAGCCAGAAGCTGGCGAGCCCAGAGATGGGCAGCAACCTTGTGAAAAACTGACAAACACTGGGCATGGTGGTGCACACCTGTAATCCCAGCACTTGGGAGGCTGAGGCAGGAGGATCACCATGAGTTGGAGGCCAGCCTGGGCTACATAAATGAGTTCAAGGCTTAGCTGCATTACACAGCGAGATCCTGTCCAAAGAAAAAAGACAAATAAAGAAACCTGACAAAGGCTGAGACTGGCAGTTTGGTCAACAGGAAATCTGGGATACCAAGAAAATAAAGGAATACAGGATTATCTAATGTGAAAGACTATGATAATCGCTGTCTCCCAAACTACTCACACTTGAAGCACGAAGACAAGACATGCATTCCCCAGCTCAGAAATAACAGGAACAAGATGCCAGGTGTGGTGGCATACCTGTAATCCCAGCACTGAGGCAGGAGGATTGCCACAAGTTTGAGGCCAGCCTGGGCTACATAGTGAGTTCAAGGGCAGCCTGGACTCCTGAACTTCATAATGAGATCCTGTCTCCGGCAAACAAAACAAACAAACAAACAAATAAAAAAAAAGAACAGAGCTGGGGGTGGGCGGGGGTCAGCGGTAGAGCACTTGCCCTGCATGTGCAAGGCCCTGGGTCCAACCCTAGCAGAAAGAGCAGAGAAGTGGGTTCTGCTGGCTGGAGGCTGTGGGAGCTATGTGTTAAGAAAAGTAGCCAGGGAGCTGGGCGTAGTGGCACAGGCCTGTAATCCCAGCACCCTGGAGGCTGAGACAGAAGGATCACCACAAGTATGAGGCCAGCCTCAGCTACATAGTGAGTTCAACCTCAGCCTGAACTGCATAGTGAGACCCTGTCTCAAAAAGACAAAAAAAAAAAAGAAAAAGAAGTAGCCATGGAGAACTGAAAACTCAGGGGATGC